TTCCACATGATACATTCTTTGTAAGAAATACACTATACTTATATGTTAAACTATGTATGACAATTGTATTTGTGTATACCTGTACCTAAATAAACCTACCTCGACCACAGTAAGCTCTCTAAATAATGGACTTTGAAAATAGGTAAAATCCGCTAGATCAATTGATTTGGAAATAATGGGCAAAGTTCAATTGTTACAGAATTGTCAATTATTGCAATCATGTTGAAATAATCTAGTCTCTGTCTGCCACAATTGTCATGGGCCTGGTCGAGGACCTGTCTGCTATGGGCATTGACCCCCAGAATGCCCCCCCCCCCACATAGATTACCAGCCACCAGCTCCCCCCAATTGGTGCATTATATGGAGGGTGTACTGTATTATAATTGAGCTATCTTTGGAAATAGGCATCGTAGCCCTAGTGAGTTATTAACGTGTGGGGCAGGAAAAAACAATTGCTATAGAGTAATAGTCACTTAAGTGATTATTACTCTATTCGTTCCTCAGTTATGAACATTAAATTCTGAGTAAATGGAAAGATGAACGAGAGGATTGAACTGTGGTCCTGAGATTGAGAGGACCCCAATGGAAATACGTCACTTTGACTTTTTTGGGGTTATCCTGGTGGGCAATTTACACATATGTATGATAATTGTACTTATGTGTACCTGTACCTAAATAAACCTACTTATGGGACTTCTGTTAAAAGTCCCATAGCTGAAGTGGCAGAGCGCCGGACCTGTGAGTCTCAGGACCATGGTTCGATCCTCCCGTCCATCCTTCCGATTATTTACTGAGAATCATTTATTACGACTTAATCTGATTAGTAGGTAAGACACATAGGCAACAGTTAGGCAACTTTATTCCAAAACGTTTCGCCTACACAGTAGACTTCTTCAGTCGAATACAGAAAGTAGGCAGGAGCAGTAGAGATGTGAAGACGATGTAATCAGTCCATCACCCTTGAAGTCATAGATTTGAGGTTGTCAGTCCCTCAGCCTGGAGAAGTTCAGTTCCATAGTCCGGAACTATCTGAAGATCAAGCGACAGTGCGGAGACTTAACCCTTTGAGGGTCGACAGGCCCTCTCCGAAACTCGTTCTCAGGGTCGGCCAAATTTAAAAAAAAAAAAATTATTTTTTCTTATGAAAAGATAGAGAATCTTTTCCCGATCATAAAGACACCAAAAGTTTGAAATTTGATAGAAAACTTACGGAATTATGCTCTCGCAAAGTTAGCGGTCTCGGCGATGTTTACGCATCGGCGATTTTGCCCACTTTGAGCCCCATTTTCGGCCAATTTCACTGTACTAGTCGACAAAAACCATGAATATTTCGCTAGAACTCCATTTTTTCTATCGAATGGGTGCAAGAAACCACTCATTTATGAAATTCAACTATCCAGTACAGTGGTCAGAATTTAGCAATTTTGCCTATTTCACACAAATTTCAAAAGATGCCAATTTCCGAATAGGGTCCAGAATAAACAAGAAAGACATTCCTGGCACTAAAATGACATTTCCTCTAGTCATTATTCACGTCTCAAGGCCCCTCTTATATTCTTTTGCTTTCCACTTTGAATTTTTATTTTCACAAAAAATATAAGATTTACTGTTATGCAGACTACTGCATTAGTGTAAAAAATGGTATAAATATTATTGGTGCACTTGTGAAAGAATATTAGACTCACCAGTTGACGTGTATTGCACGCTTGGCACGATTTGTTTACTTTTGAAGTTTGGTAAAAATCGAACATTTCTGCTACTTTGTGCTCAATTTCAAGGCACCTTTCATTGTAAAACCAGTCAAAATCATCTCTATTTCTGTAATATGTCTTCCATTCTATAAAATGAGACCAAGAAAACTAGAATACAACAATAAATACCATACGAAAATACACTGCAAAGTCGCTGATTTATTAAAAAAAAATGGTCAAAGTTTTTTTTTTCTCATTATGCACTGTGTGCTGCAGGATTTTTTTTAGACTGTGCACACTGACCACATAGACCCATTCTTTCATATGAAGGCCTACCAGCTTTCTCCCACTAGATTTGAGGCCGCTAGAATTTATGAGTACTAGTACGTCAAAAACCCCTACGCGTAAGACGTACTAGTACGACGAAAACCCTCAAAGGGTTAAATACTGTCGGAAGGAGAGGTGCAGAGTAGTAGTAGTAGTGAGAAAGCAGCCACTGAGAGGTCACGTCCCTCTCAGATCAAACAATTCTCACTCGAGAATTGTTTGACACTGTTAAACACTGCAACACAATGGCATCTTGGTACAGAAAACACCTTGGACAACTTTTTCGAGTGAGAATTGTTTGATCTGAGAGGGACGTAACCTCTCAGTGGCTGCTTTCTCACTACTACTACTACTCTGCACCTCTCCTTCTGACAGTATTTAAGTCTCCGCACTGTCGCTTGATCTTCAGATAGTTCCTGATTATGGAACTGAACTTCTGCAGGCTGAGGGACTGACAACCTCAAATCTACAACTTCAAGGGTGATGGACTGATTACATCGTCTTCACATCTCTACTGTTCCTGCCTACTTTCTGTATTCGACTGAAGAAGCCTACTGTGTAGGTGAAACGTTTCAGAATAAAGTTGCCTAACTGTTGCCTATGTGTCTTACCTACTAATCAGATTAAGTCGTAATAAATGATTCTCAGCAAAATTTCCAGGTGCGAGCAGGCCTCAAGGGAGGTTAATTGACACTGGTGAGGGGGCTCTTGCTCTTGATCTAGGGAATTGTATCTCAGTTGTTTGTTGGACTATCTTATTGAAACTTTGGCAATGTATTATGAAAAGATGCTTCTTAACGTACACCAAAAATTAAAGAAATCGGACCATAAATAACGGAGTTCACTTCTCAGCCATTAGCCTCCCCTTAGGGGTATATTTTCGTATGGTTTTTATGGTTGTATTCTCGTTTTATTTGGTCTCGTGTGATAGAATGGAAGATATACTACAAAAAAAGATATGATTTTAATTGGTTTCATGATGAAAAGTACCTTGAAATTGAGTTCAAAATAGCAGAAATGTTTGATTCTTTGGCGACATCAGTGATAGACATCATGAGGTAGCAGTGGCAAACATGAAGCAGCAGTGGCAGACAACATGAGGTAGCACTGGCAGACAACATGAAGCAGCAGTGGCAGACAACATGAGGTAGCACTGGCAGACAACATGAAGCAGCAGTGGCAGACAACATGAAGCAGCAGTGGCAGACAACATGAAGCAGCAGTGGCAGACAACATGAAGCAGCAGTGGCAGACATCATGAGGTAGCAGTGGTAGACAACATGAAGCAGCAGTGGTAAAGTATAGCATTAAGAGTGTAGCAATTAAGTGCAGCATTAAGAGTGTAGTAATTAAGTGAAGCACTAAGAGTGTAGCACTTATAAGTCACTCTGTCTGACTTTTTTGGGTTATCCTAGGTTCTCTACACATGTAGTCAGGAGCAGGATTGGCCGCTGGTGGCCCTATCAACCCCAACAACAATGGCTGCTGTCACCACCACTAGCCACATACCTAATGACATGTATTTCATTCATACTAGTGTATACTATATCGTGTTTCTATGTTATTAACATTATTTATTATGTCATATTACATGAATTGTGATAGATAAATAAGCTGTCGAGTTCATATTAGGGAAGTTATTTTTTTTTTTTATTATCACACCGGCCGATTCCCACCAAGGCAGGGTGGCCCGAAAAAGAAAAACTTTCACCATCATTCACTCCATCACTGTCTTGCCAGAAGGGTGCTTTACACTACAGTTTTTAAACTGCAACATTAACACCCCTCCTTCAGAGTGAGACTGTTTACTTGCATCTCCAGGATACAAGTCGGCTGCCGGTTTTCCGAATCTTATACTTGTGACATCAGTATACACATAGGAGCATGGCAAACATGAAGCAAAGGTGGAGACAACATGTGCTGGGGACAACAAAGCAGCAGTGGAAGACAACATGGAGCAGCAGCTGGCAGACAACATGAAGCGAGTGGGAAACATGAAGCGCACTGCAGAGAGCATGATGGTTAGCACTGGCAAAACATGAGAAGCAGTGGCAGACAATGGAGCGAGATGGCGAAATTTTCTTTTGACCGCTTGTGGAATCGGCCGGTGGTAGAAAATGAAAGCAAGTTAAGTCATAGCATTAGAGTGTGACATTAATTCAGCATTAAAGTGTAAGTAATAAGTAAGCATAAGAGTAGAACACGTATAAACCTGTATGACGATATTTTGGGTTATCGTAGTCTGTGACGCAGCATTGTGTAGGGTTGGGCCACGGGCCATCAACCCCAACAAAATGCGCTGTCACACCACAATAGCAAGTACTATAATGCTATTCATTATCTATTATATATACGTTTTCATGTTATTAAATTTAATTTAATGCATATTACATGATTGAAATAAGTTGTCGTCTCTATTGACGTTATGAAGTATTTCCGTGCCTTGAATTTCCACTGGAAAGTAATTAAATTCTATTCATTAATTCAATGGAAAAATTGACTTGCAATGCAAATCCAGTTAGCGGCAAGTCATGGAACGAGTAAATCTCATAAAAGAGGTTCATGTATTTACCTCCGAGACAATACCCAGGTATACATGTAAGATTTGCTTGGAAGTACAGTTAACATATTTGCTTGAAGTTCTTTAAATCAGCACAAATTTGATGTAGAATATATTTATGAATTTGTTATTAGCTTCTGGTGTGTGGCATATGTTACACATTCAGTATTATAAATACATGCTGGTCAGTTTTGACACTTTCTTAATAGCAGTTGCAAAAAACTGCACTGTGTAGCGGAGCTTTAGATAAGAGCTCACTAGCCAGCTCTCTTATGAAGCTCCTATATATACAATCACCTCTCTTATAAAGCACCTCTATAGATATAAATTCTATTTTTCAGTCGCATTTTTCACTCGTAAAAACAGCACTAAGGAGAAGCGTTTTATAAAGATGACAGTAGTTACATCAGTTACTTTCACAGGGCTACACGAGCTTCTGGAACGACTGCATATCTTCAGGGCTGCGAGGCTGCATTTTGATAGAGCTAGCTCTCAGAGGCAGAGTAGAGCTGGAGAAGGCCGGCCTACGCCGGAAATCTCTGCTCAACCGCAAGGTGAGAAGATGCAACGAGGAACACAGCAGCTCACCATAACGTTGATCTCTGTAAAGAACTTTATGTATCTCTGTATTTTAACTGTGGTGGAATGATTGATTTACTGTGTGACAGTGGGGGAATGATTGATTTACTGTGTGACAGTGGTGGAATGATTGATTTACTGTGTGACAGTGGTGGAATGATTGATTTACTGTGTGACAGTGGGGGAATGATTGATTTACTGTGTGCCAGTGGGGGGAATAATTGATTTATTGTGTGCAGTGGGGGGGGGAAATGATTTATTTGCATAGTATGAATCTGTGTGTTTTTATTGTGCAGCTGTGGGAGAATGATTAATTTATGTATGAATCTCTGTATTTTTACTGTGGGTGAACAATTGATTTATGTATAAATCTATGTATTTTTATTGTGGGACTGTGGGGGAATGGTTGAGTAAACTACAGTCATCTCTCTCATATATTACAAAGACCACAATGGAAATAAGTCACTTTGACTGACTTTTTTGTGTTATTCTGTAGGTCAGTTTACATACATGTCAAACGATGTATGATAATTGTACTTATTTGTACCTCTACCTAAATAAACTTAACAAATTTCTATATATTATTGCAGTTGAAAGTACAGTGTCCAAAATTGAATAGGCAGGTACAGTACCACAAGAGATTTTTTTACATGTTATTCAATTCCCGATGAATGTTTTCAGTTGTGCTTACTAAATATGGCACTAAAAAAATACAGTAAGTCCTTGACTTACAGACATGTTGAAAATGTTCTGTATTATGTATAATCATTATTATACTCAACACAGAAGGTCCCCCACATTTTCGTAAATCTTACTGGCTATATAAGAGACATTAGGGCGAGCAATATTGACAGGTTGATGAGTGATATAGATGAGCAACACTTAGATATGCCAGAGTTGTATTCACATGTGTTCGACTGAAGAAGTCCGCTGTGTCAGTGAAACCCAAGTGTTGTATACCTCTTACTCAGTCACCTGCTGTTGTATAGTCTTGTATACCTGACTGCTCTGTGTGTATTTGTGTATTGGAATCTATTGTGTATTTGTTCTAGTGTGTATTTTTATAGTGTGTATTTGTACTAGTGTATATTTGTATTAGTGTATACTAGTGTATATTTGTACTAGTGTATACATACTAGTGTACATTTGTACAAGTGTATACTGGTGTATATTTGTACTAGTGTATACTGATATATATTTGTCCTAGTGTATACTGGTGTATATTTGTTCTAGTGTATACTGGTGTATATTTGTACTAGTGTATACTGGTGTATATTTGTACTGTGTATACTGATATATATTTGTCCTAGTGTATACTGGTGTATATTTGTCCTAGTGTATACTGGTGTATATTTGTACTAGTGTATACTGATGTATATTTGTACTAGTGTATATTTGTACTCATGTATACTGGTGTATGTTTGTAATAGTGTATACTGGTGTGTATTTCTTGAGAACTTTTGATTATAAAAATATCATTTACCATATAAAGCAATGGTGTTATTGAAGGGGATTTCCTGATGGCTGGTCAAGGGCTCTTGATCTAAGGAATTGGAGCAGCCCTCTCCCTCCTGATTACCCCTAGTTCCTCAGGTGTGTTATAACCCCTACAGGTTTAGCACTTTGTAATGTATTATATCTGCTTGGAACCTCCTTCAAGTTTCAGGGGTCAGTGCCCCTGTGGCCTGGTCCATGACCAGGCCTTGTGGTGGATCAGGACCTGATGAACCAGGCTGTTACTTCTGGCCACACGTAAACCAGTGTGTGAACCACAGCCGGCTGGTCAGCTACTGACTGCAGGTGACTGTCCAGCTCCTTCTTGAAGACAGCCAGGGGTCTTGAATACAACCAGGGGTCTTGAATACAACCAGGTGTCTTGAATACAACCAGGTGTCTTGAATACAACCAGGTGTCTTGAATACAACCAGGTGTCTTGAATACAACCAGGGGTCTTGAATACAACCAGGTGTCTTGAATACAACCAGGTGTCTTGAATACAACCAGGGTCTTGAATACACCAGGGTCTTGAATACAACCAGGGTCTTGAATACAACCAGGGGTCTTGAATACAACCAGGGGTCTTGAATACAGCCAGGGGTCTTGAATACAACCAGGGGTCTTGAATACAACCAGGTGTCTTGAATACAACCAGGTGTCTTGAATACAACCAGGTGTCTTGAATACAACCAGGTGTCTTGAATACAACCAGGGGTCTTGAATACAGCCAGGGGTCTTGAATACAACCAGGGGTCTTGAATACAACCAGGGGTCTTGAATACAACCAGGGATGGGTCTTGAATACAACCAGGGGTCTTGAATACAACCAGGGGTCTTGAATACAACCAGGGGACTTGAATACAACCAGGGGTCTTGAATACAACCAGGGGACTTGAATACAACCAGGGGTCTTGAATACACCAGGGGACTTGAATACAGCCAGGGGACTTGAATGCAGCCAGGGGTCTTGAATACAGCCAGGGGTCTTGAATTCAGCCAGGGGGGTCTTGGTAATCCCCCCTTACGTGTGCTGGGAGGCAGTTGAACAGTCCTGGGCCCCTGACACTTATTACATAATATTCTTATACAGCTCCTCTGTATATAGTAGTACAATTTTTTTGTGTATAAATTGAAAAAGTGTAAGAATGCCTGGTCATAGACCGGGCCATGGAGGGTATTGACCCCTAGAACACCCTACAGGAATTCAAAATTCAACCCCATTAACCATTATCTAACCCAACTACTGCCATTAATCCCATTCATTGAATTTTAAAGTTCTCTTATTTCTACTTTTACTTTTTCATGGATAAATAGATTATCGTGGGGCAGCGGGCCTCCAGCAGCAACAGCCTGGTTGACCAGGAGAGCACCAGACGAGAGTAGTGAACCTCTTGAAACTCTTCAAAGGTATATCACTGTTTTGTAACCCAACTCAATCCTTCCTTGCCTGGCTTAGTCATTAATATTTTGTTTTAGGTAATACTGCGATCTGACCAGCCCACCGGTGATGTCCTCCTCGATCGAAGCACTTAAACACATAAAAGAAACGGATCCACCTGAGACTGTGCAATCCTGGATTGAATTTCTCTCAGGTAATGCAGCTGATGGATGAGCGGAATTTGTGTTTACAGGTGTTATTTGCTGTGTGTGCTACAGTGTACCAGGTTCATGGTTACTGTGCTACAGTGTACCAGGTTCATGGTTACTGTGTGTGCTACAGTGTACCAGGTTCATGGTTACTGTGTGTGCTACAGTGTACCAGGCTCATGGTTACTGTTCTACAGTGTACCAGGCTCATGGTTACTGTGCTACAGTGTACCAGGTTCATGGTTACTGTGTATGCTACAGTGTACCAGGTTCATGGTTACTGTGCTACAGTGTACCAGGTTCATGGTTACTGTGCTACAGTGTACCAGGTTCATGGTTACTGTGCTACAGTGTACCAGGTTCATGGTTACTGTGTGTGCTACAGTGTACCAGGTTCATGGTTACTGTGTGTGCTACAGTGTACCAGGTTCATGGTTACTGTGTGTGCTACAGTGTACCAGGTTCATGGTTACTGTGTGTGCTACAGTGTACCAGGCTCATGGTTACTGTGTGTGCTACAGTGTACCAGGTTCATGGTTACTGTGTGTGCTACAGTGTACCAGGCTCATGGTTACTGTGCTACAGTGTACCAGGTTCATGGTTACTGTGTGCTACAGTGTACCAGGTTCATGGTTACTGTGTGTGCTACAGTGTACCAGGTTCATGGTTACTGTGTGTGCTATAGTGTACCAGGTTCATGGTTACTGTGTGTGCTACAGTGTACCAGGTTCATGGTTACTGTGTGTGCTACAGTGTACCAGGTTCATGGTTACTGTGTGTGCTACAGTCACACAGTTCAACATTACAGTCACACAGTTCAACATTACAGTCACACAGTTCAGTTAGGTTTATATATAAGTAACCACAATTTGTTTTTCTCTCAGAATAATCCCTAATAACTAGACCTAATAGTTTAGTTACAGAAATATTATTACTTTCATTTATTAATAAGCTGAATTAACTATTTCCAGTATCAGCTTTCAGTTGTTCACTAAAATATAGTGTCAATACATTGTCAACAAGTGTACTACATTTTGTCCTCTTGAGGTTATGGTTCTTACATCCAGAACTGTCAGCAAAATGTTCTCTGCTGAGTTAAATGGTCGCCTATTCGTAATGAACAATGTTCAGCAATGAACAAAGACATATTCCCCTCTGTTCTTACATCTCTTACTTTTTCAAACTGAAGAATTGTTTGTTAATGTGTACTGAACGGTTCTTTAATTTTCTGGTGCTTGGCAGTATTTTTGTCTTTCAGTGTCATTTAATTTAGCTGCAGTTGAACATTTGCAGTACTTACGAAAACATTGTGTGTTGTGTGTCATCGCTCTGCTTCGCTTAACCATTTCTGGCATCTGTAGTCACTGAGTCACTGCACTCTGAAATACTGAGTATATTTCTTGCTGGTAATGAACAGTCACCACAAATAGCGACAGTAATAGTAGCAGATAACACAAGCAAAGATCTAAAAAGCTGGACTGTTGCAATGGACGACTTTCACAGTCACAGTCACAGGACACTCACAGTCACACTCCAGAACACCCTCACAGTCACAGCCCAGGGCACTACGACAGTCACCGTCTGGGACACTCTCACAGTCACAGCCCAGGACACTATCATAGTCACAGTCCAGGACACTCGCAGTCCAGGAAACTCTCACAGTCACAGGACACTCACAGTCCAGCACACTCTCACAGTCACAGTCAAGGACACTTTCACAGTCCAGGACACCCTCAGTCACAGTCCAGGACACTCACAGTCAAGGATACTTTCACAGTCCAGGACACCCTCACAGCCACAGTCCAGGACACACTCACAGTCACAGTCCAGAACACTCACAGTCACAGTCCAGGACACTTATCATTCTCACAGTCACAGTCCAGGACACTCTCACAGTCACAGTCCAGGACACTCACAGTCACAGTCCAGGACACTATCACTCACACGTAGTCCAGGACACTATCACTGAAGAATCACATTCAATATATGATCTGGACCTGCCTAACTTGAACTTCAGAAAGCTACCTGGTGAGATTTTATTAAGTTTAGCTTTGATTGTTTTTCCTTACTTTTATTTAGGTTCTTGCTTATTACATATACAGTCTCTCCTCACTTAACGAGAGTTCCGTTCCTAAGACCACGTTGATAAACGAATTCGTCGCTAAGCAAGGAGCATACTATAATGGTGGTGGGTTTGTGTCATCCGTCTTTGATATTGTTTTAATGTTAACTTTGTACCATTTATAACAATTCTGATATATTTTATATGCTTATACAGTAGTGTACTGTATATTGTAATGAACAGGATAGAGGAAATTAGCTCTAATAAACATTAAGTATCAAATGAGGGTATCAAATGATTTAGATAAAGAAAAATTGGATATCAAATTGGGGAGGAGGAGTATGGAAGAAGTGAATGTTTTCAGATACTTGGGAGTTGACGTGTCGGCGGATGGGTTTATGAAGGATGAGGTTAATCATAGAATTGATGAGGGAAAAAAGGTGAGTGGTGCGTTGAGGTATATGTGGAGTCAAAAAACGTTATCTATGGAGGCAAAGAAGGGAATGTATGAAAGTATAGTAGTACCAACACTCTTATATGGATGTGAAGCTTGGGTGGTAAATGCAGCAGCGAGGAGACGGTTGGAGGCAGTGGAGATGTCCTGTCTAAGGGAAATGTGTGGTGTAAATATTATGCAGAAAATTCGGAGTGTGGAAATTAGGAGAAGGTGTGGAGTTAATAAAAGCATTAGTCAGAGGGCAGAAGAGGGGTTGTTGAGGTGGTTTGGTCATTTAGAGAGAATGGATCAAAGTAGAATGACATGGAAAGCATATAAATCTATAGGGGAAGGAAGGACGGGTAGGGGTCGTCCTCAAAAGGGTTGGAAAGAGGGGGTAAAGGAGGTTTTGTGGGCAAGGGGCTTGGACTTCCAGCAAGCGTGCACGAGCGTGTTAGATAGGAGTGAATGGAGATGAATGATACTTGGGACCTGACGATCTGTTGGAGTGTGAGCAGGGTAATATTTAGTGAAGGGATTCAGGGAAGCCGGTTATTTTCATATAGTCGGACTTGAGTCCTGGAAATGGGAAGTACAATGCCTGCACTTTAAAGGAGGGGTTTGGGATATTGGCAGTTTGGAGGGATATGTTGTGTATCTTTATACGTATATGCTTCTAAACTGTTGTATTCTGAGCACCTCTGCAAAAGCAGTGATAATGTGTGTGAGTGTGGTGAAAGTGTTGAATGATGATGAAAGTATTTTCTTTTTGGGGATTTTCTTTCTTTTTTGGGTCACCCTGCCTCGGTGGGAGACGGCCGACTTGTTAAAAAAAAAAAAAAAAACATTAAGTATGCATAGTGGTCAGAGAGCCAGTTGTAAGTCTGAGTTGTCGGTAAACGAGTACATCGCTAAGTGAGGAGAGGCTGAAAGCACTAAATTTGTTGTTAATTCATCTCAAAAGCACTAAAAAAAATGTGGTAAAAAGCATCAAAATGTGCTCAATCTTAGTGTGAAAAGCACTAATTTGGCAACCCTGGTCCATACATGTGTGTCCTGTACGATTCTCAGATCTGTGTTTGTGAATCGATTTTTTATCTTTTCATTACCATATCTTGTATCTGCATAGTAACCATGGTAGCCAAGAGGTATGTGAGTGACGTTGGAAACATTCAAAGCTTGGTGTTATGAAGACATTCGAGATGTTAGATAAAAGTGTTGCAGTGTGGTGAAGATGGCGAGAACTTATGACCTTTATGAAGCATCAGTTTGTTGAATTAAAAAGAATGAGGCAAATATACAAGCTTGTGCAATGAATAACTCAGGTTGTCACCTCCTGAAAAGAATGATACAAGATCACAACAGGTAAATGAAACAGAAAACTTATTGGCTGAGTGGACTGAACAGAAAACAAAGACAGGTCTATTACTTAATTTCATCTATAAAACAATGTGTTATGAGGAAGGAAGACCTGAACAAGTGTGTGTTCAGCACCGGCTAGTTCCACAAGTTTAAGTTACCTAATAAGTTGCATAACACAGTACAACTCCTGTATCCATGGATTCAGTTTCTGTGGTTTCAATTATCCACAGTTTACTGTGGCCTGAAAATAACCCTTAATTTTCCATACTAATGGTCACAGAGCACAAAAGTAATGATGCTAATAGTTCTTCAAAGCCTAAGAGAAGCCATGGAGTGCTTCCTGTCAGTGAAAGTGCTCATTCTCGACTTGTGCTTAATTTATCAATTAAACTTTATCATAGGGATGTATGTAAACAAAAAATGACTTGTATATAGGGTTCACTGATATCCAAGGTTACAGGTATCCAGGGTAGGTCTCAGAATGTTTTCCCCGTGGATACGGGAGGACTACTGTGTTGTCTGGTGAAAGTTCTTCAGGTGATCCCAGAGGATGAAGTAATTTCCCTGCTGAATTACAGGAAATTATTTCTGAGGGTGACTACGAGCCACAGAAAGTGTTGATGAGACGAGTGTGTATTGGAAGATGTCAACAAGAACTTACATCAGTCAACAAGGAAAAAGTGCTCCAGGATTCAAGGCAGCAAAGGATCGCTTCAACTTGCTTCATTGTGGTAATGCATCAAGTGACTTCAAGTGTAAGCCCATGGTTATTTACCACTCCAAGACTCCTCCTGCTTTGAAAGTTGTAGATATAACCACCTTACTGGTAATTTGGAGGTTAAACCCATCAGCATGGATGACAGAGGAATTATTGATTGATTGGTTTAAGCATCTGTTTCCGAAGTCAAGTTGTACCTTCCCAGCAAGAACCTTCTAGTCAACGTTCTCTTCACTCTTGATAATTCCTGTACTTATCCAGAAGCCTTGTTGGATGTGAACCCACATGTAAAAGTTACATTTTTACCTCCACATACAACATCTTTAATACAACCACTGGATTGTGTAGTTATTAGGTCATTCAATTGTAACTACGCAAGAAAAGTGAAGAAAAACTAGTTGCATCACTGTATTCTGACTACAATTTGGCAATACCAAATTTTTTGAATAAATTTAACATTGCAGACGTCATCAGCTGTGCTGGAAGTGTATGGAAGGAACTGCCGCAATCAACAATAAATGCAACCTGGGGAAAGTCATGATGATGCGTAATGAATTCTTTTGCTGTTTTCCCCCTCACTTGAGAGTCAAGTGCAGGAAATTGTTCAGCTAGCAAGATTACCAGGTGATGACTTTGAAGATATGAAGAATATGATATGAATGAGCTCTTAGAAGATGATGACAGAAGTCCAGAGGAAATGATAGAAGAGCTCAATGTACAGATACAAGTGAAACAGGTAGAGGATGATGATGATGATGAAGCTGAAGAAAAATAATTAACATTGTAACAGTTACATGAGCAGTTGCATGTTGCTGGTAAACCAGCAGACTTTTTTTTCACTGAAGAAGACCCTGACAAATCTAGAAATAGGTCTTTGAAACTGAGTCTAGAGCAGCTGATGATATCTTACCATCAGCTGTATAAAGTACTGCAGGGTAAAAGAGACCAGAGATGCATTACAAAATTTCTCTGTTCTCCTGTAAAAACCATCGACTTTAGTATCAGAGCCTCAACCATCCTCCTCGGCAAACAACCAACAACCATCCATCACAGCCCAGTAGGTTTACAGCATCCCTCTCTACTCTGTTCACAATCATTGACAAAAACCAGCAGCCACAATTTAGGGTACGAAACATTATTTCTGTAGCATTTGTATCTTACCTAATGTATTAACCCTTAAATGGTCCAAACATATATACAGTGGACCCCCGCATAACGATCACCTCCGAATGCGACCAATTATGTAAGTGTATTTATGTAAGTGCATTTGTACGTGTATGTTTGGGGGTCTGAAATGGACTAATCTACTTCACAATATTCCTTATGGGAACAAATTCGGTCAGTACTGGCACCTGAACATACTTCTGGAGTGAAAAAATATCGTTAACCGGGGGTCCACTGTATACGTTTTTTCAACATCTGAAAGTCTGTAAAAAAAATGTAGATCTTTTTTGTTTTACATTTGAAATCGTGTAAAGAAACTTTTATCTACATTATTTTTTTGTTATATTTGAAAATATGTAAAAAAAAGTAGATCTACTTTTGTAGCACTATGAATTTGAACGTCGATCTGTTTGGACCGTTTAAGGTTAAACATAATAAGTCTCAACAAGCAGCTACAATTACATTATCATTTTTTATTTGTTTACAGTTTGGAGACCTAAAACAGAAGTTGTTTGCCACTTTTGGAGTCCAAGGACCATAACTATTTTTCCCATATTTCTTCAATTTGTTTTACCTGATTTCGTAGTAACGAAATTTTCAGGAACGTAACAACTCTCGTAATCGACGGTCGCTGTATATACATGTTATATAGGTGAGTACGAACAGTAAACGTGTCTTTCTCATGCTCAGCAAATGGAGGATCAAGCCTCCACCAAGTCTTGTGCTGAATGAAGACAGTGGTAGGCTTGAGGTAGTAGTTTGAGGTGATCAGTTCCTCAGTTAATCATAGAATTGATGAGGGAAAAAAGGTGAGTGGTGCGTTGAGGTGTATGTGGAGTCAAAAAACGTTATCTATGGAGGCAAAGAAGGGAATGTATGAAAGTATAGTAGTACCAACACTCTTATATGGGTGTGAAGCTTGGGTGGTATATGCAGCAGCGAGGAGACGGTTGGAGGCAGTGGAGATGTCCTGTTTAAGAGCAATGTGTGGTGTAAATATTATGCAGAAAATTCGGAGTGTGGAAATTAGGAGAAGGTGTGGAGTTAATAAAAGTATTAGTCAGAGGGCAGAAGAGGGGTTGTTGAGGTGGTTTGGTCATTTAGAGAGAATGGATCAAAATAGAATGACTTGGAAAGCATATAAATCTATAGGGGAAGGAAGGCGGGGTAGGAGTCGTCCTCGAAAGGGTTGGAGAGAGGGGGTAAAGGAGGTTTTGTGGGCAAGGGGCTTGGACTTCCAGCAAGCGTGCGTGAGCATGTTAGATAGGAGTGAATGGAGACAAATGGTACTTGGGACCTGACGATCTGTTGGAGTGTGAGCAGGGTAATATTTAGTGAAGGGATTCAGGGAAACTGGTTATTTTCATATAGTCAGACTTGAGTCCTGGAAATGGGAAGTACAATGCCTGCACTTTAAAGGAGGGGTTTGGGATATTGGCAGTTTGGAGGGATATACAGTGGACCCCCGGTTAACGATATTTTTTCACTCCAGAAGTATGTTCAGGTGCCAGTACTGACCGAATTTGTTCCCATAAGAAATATTGTGAAGTAGATTAGTCCATTTCAGACCCCCAAACATACACGTACAAACGCACTTACATAAATACACTTACATAATTGGTCGCATTCGGAGGTAATCGTTATGCGGGGGTCCACTGTATTGTGTATCTTTATATGTGTATGCTTCTAAACTGTTGTATTCTGAGCACCTCTGCAAAAACAGTGATAATGTGTGAGTGTGGTGAAAGTGTTGAATGATGATGAAAGTATTTTCTTTTTGGGGATTTTCTTTCTTTTTTGGGTCACCCTGCCTCGGTGGGAGACGGCCGACTTGTTGAAAAAAAAAAAAAGTTCCTCAGCCTTATTTTTTTCTTTTATTTTAACACGGCCATTTCCCACTGAGGTAGAGTGACCCCAAAAGAAAGAAAAACCCAAAAAGAAAGAAAAAACTTTCATCATCATTCAACACCTTCACCATCACTCATACATATAATCACTGTCTTTACAGAGGTTCTCAGATACGACAGTTTAGACTTCCCTCCAAACTGCCAATATCCTAAACCCCTTCTTTAAAGTGCAGGCATTGTACTTCCTATTTCCAGGACTCAAGTGTGGCTCTAACAGGTTTCCCTGAATCCCTTCACAAAATATTACCCTTCTCACACTCCAACAGCTCATCAGGTCCCAAAAACCATTCGTCTCCATTCACTCCTATCCAACATGCTTTCAAAGGCTTGCTGGAAATCCATGCCTTTCGCCCACAAAACCACCTTTACGACCCCTACCCCGCCTTCCTTCCCCAACAGATTTATATGCTCTTTAAGTCATTCTAATTTGTTCCATTCTCTCTAAATGATCAAACCACCTCAACAACCCCTCTTCAGCCCTCTGAACAATACTTTTAGTAACTCCACACCTCCACCTAATTTCCACACTACAAATTTTCTGCATAATATTTACACCACACATTGCCCCTTAGACACGACATCTCCGCCTCCTTGCTGCAGCATTTACAACCCATGCTTCACACCCGTGTAAGAGTGTTAGTACCACTATACTGTTATACATTCTCTTCTTTGCCTCCATGGATAGCGTTCTTTGTCTGCCTTGTATACTTTAAAATTAATGTACTAATTTTTAAAGTGGTGGAGGGGTAAACCAGTGGAAAGCCTCAGTCAGATGACCAAAAGCTGGGTCATTATGTGAATAAGACCTGCCAGGAAACAATTCTCTTGTTGTGATGAATGGTTTTGAAAACCGACAAGTTGAAGAATTGAGACACTTATGCAACACGTGGGAATCTTTATTGAAGAGATTTGAAAAGATTATTGAAAAGATTCCCATGTGTTGCATAAGTGTCTCAATTCTTCAATTCTCTTATTATGATGATTTTTAAAGACCTATAATCTCACCTTGATGAAATCGATGGAGACAGATGGAAGGATATTAGTAGTAGTCTGAGGTGATCCAGGACCATCCTTGTGTGCATGAATGGTTGAAACGCCTCCAGTTGAAGAGTATGAGACATTATTGCAAACAATGGAATTTTATTGAGAGGATTTGGAACAAGATTATTGGAAAAGATTCCATGTATGCATAAGATGTCCTCAATTCTTTATCTCTTTTTCTGATGACTATTAACAGTACCTACCTAATCCATCAGCCTTGATGAAATATGAATGGAGACAGTGGAAGATATGTAGTAGTAGTCTGAGGTGATCAGTCCCCCAGAGTGCAGAGTAGGCCTAAAGTACAGCCCCCCAGTCAAGACAGTACCAGTGTAGACTGCATTACTTTCAATGAAAAATTCAGGATGTTGCAGTTCAGAGGATTTCCTGGACAATGGTGTCAGCACTTGTCTGGCAAGACAGCAGTTGAATGTATGATGGTTAAAATGTTTCCTCTTTTTTTTTTTTTTTTCAGGGTCAACGTACCTCACTGGAAGACAGCCAGTATCTTAAAAACAAAATATGACATATTGCAGTTTGAATGGTCATCTGTGCAATAGTATCAGACTGTGTCTGGTGAACATGATGGAGTTGATTGTTGGTGAAAGTGTTTCTTCTATTTTCAAGTCACACTACCTCAGTGGGAGATAACCAGTGTGCTAAAAAATAAAGTTAACTCAGTGTTATCATTTCAGGGGAGTCTTGGAACCCTCTTAAACTGCGCTACCAGCTGCGCAACGTGCGAGAACGACTGGCCAAGACATCGTGATGAAGGGTAGTCTTGACCCCGAGAACAGAACCTTCCTCGTCTTCGACATGACCACACACCCCCTCACAGACAATGTAACCAAGACTAAACTTGTAAAAAAGGTAATGACAAAAATGTCACAATACCATAACAGTACCCCCATATAGCAGACTGAAACTCACACCCTTGTTTCAGTCCAACTTGGATCAAAATACTGTCATGTATTTCATTCTCTTGTTTAGATTTTGTTGCTCTGGTGGCTAGTTTGTGCATACCCATCCATCCTGTGGATGGTAGTGGCTAGTTTATTGTGCACCTCATATCCATCCTGTGGATGGTAGTGGCTAGTTTATTGTGTACCTCACATCCATCCTGTGGATGGTAGTGGCTAGTTTATTGTGCACCTCATATCCATCCTGTGGATGGTAGTGGCTAGTTTATTGTGTACCTCAATCCACCTGTGGATGGGTGTATGGCTAGTTTATTGTGCACTTCATATGCAACCTGTGGATGGTAGTGGCTAGTTTATTGTGTAACCTCATATCCATATCCTGTGGATGGTAGTGGCTAGTTTATTGTGCACCTCATATCCATCCTGTGGATGGTAGTGGCTAGTTTATTGTGTACCTCACATCCATCCTGTGGATGGTAGTGGCTAGTTTATTGTGTACCTCACATCCATCCTGTGGATGGTAGTGGCTAGTTTATTGTGTACCTCACATCCATCCTGTGGATGGTAGTGGCTAGTTTATTGTGTACCTCACATCCATCCTGTGGATGGTAGTGGCTAGTTTATTGTGTACCTCACATTCATCCTGTGGATGGTAGTGGCTAGTTTATTGTGTACCTCACATCCATCCTGTGGATGGTATGGCTAGTTTATTGTGTACCTCACATCCATCCTGTGGATGGTAGTGGCTAGTTTATTGTGTACCTCACATCCATCCTGTGGATGGTAGTGGCTAGTTTATTGTGTACCTCACATCCATCCTGTGGATGGTAGTGGCTAGTTTATTGTGCACCTCATATCCATCCTGTGGATGGTAGCACAAGTGGCTTACAGGAGCCACTTATGTGTGGGTCACCTTTTATAAAGCTATCCTATATAGTACAGTTTCTTGCAGATGCAAATGAAAAATTGCATTCAGTATCGAAGAGGGTGTACTAAGCAAGCCTTTTCAGATGATGATCAATTTTTGGTGCAGTTTTTCAGTCGCATTTCAAGAATATTACACTGTATAGAGGAGCGTTATTAGTGTTAACTGTATTATAATAATAATAATAATAATAATAAGAAGAAGAATATGAATATGAATAATAATAATAATTTAATTAAGTACATGATACAACTTATCCTATTTCATGGCTTATTAGATGCATGGTTTTGTCTGTAAAATGTCTCCAAACACCACCCTGCGTCCTATAAACTGAAGTTTGGGGTGTGGGGCGGGCTGTAGCTCTCCCAGTTACATCCAGTGCCGAGCCATTGAAACTAAAACAAGTCTTATAAGCCGCAAAATACGGTATACAGGTAATAGAGAGAAAATATTAGTGGGTATTAACAAAAGTTCTTAGTAGAGTGGAACTTCCATAATGCAACCAGTGAGTGTTAGAGGGCAGTAATGGATTTAAATTAGACAAGTTTAGATTTATTTATTTATTTATTTATTTATTTATTTATTTATAATTTGAGCACACTTACAGAGGTACAAAAAAAAATACAGATAAGAGCAGCATGCCAAAGACACTTATACTATGCATAGCATTACGGGCTGGCTTAAAATTAACTTAAGATTAACTAAGCAATGATGAAATCAGTGAAAAACATTAATGTAAACTGATTACTATAAAGCACAAGTGAGTATTACAAAGACAGGTCATATGGTTGCATGCATTGTTGTAAATTCAGTAGAATGGAGTATTCTGTTAGGTAGTGAATTTAAAAAATAATAAAGTTAGATTGGGTTTTTTAGGTTTAACATTTATGTGATATAATTGTGAGAAACATTTAAAGATATACAATTTATAAGGTTCAGTTATTCAGTATTTATTTGGTTTTGGGTGAGTAAGTGATCTTTGAGAAGAGACTTGAATTTATAAACAGGTAGTGTTTCTTTTATATTAACAGGTAATGAATTCCAGATTTTAGGGCCTTTTATGTGCATTGAGTTTTTGCATAGCGTGAGATGGACACGAGGAATATCAAAGAGTGATCTGTGCCTTGTGTTATGGTCATGTGTTCTGTTGAGGTTGGCAAGGAGATGTTTGAGGGGAGGGTTTAAATATCAGAGTTGAGTGTTCTATGTATGTAATAGGTGCAGTAATAAGTATGGATGTTTTGTATGGTGAGTAGGTTGAGTGTATTGAATATTGGTGGAGTGTGCTGCCTGTAGTGAGAATTTGTTATCATTCTAACTGCAGCCTTTTGTTGGGTAATTAGTGGTCTGAGATGGTTACTTGTTGTTGAGCCCCATGCACAAATTCCATAGGTGAGATAGGGGTAAATAAGAGAGTGATATAGGGCCAGGAGGGCTGACTGTGGAGCATAGTAAGGACATAGGAAAGTATTGGTTTGGAAATAGGGTAGTTGATGAGTGGAACAGTCTACCTAGTTGGGTTATTGAGGCTAGGACTTTGGGTAGTTTCAAATTTAGGTTGGATAAATATATGAGTGAGAGGGGTTGGATCTGATTGGGACTTGCAAATGAGTAGATAGAGTTTATCAGAGAGTATTTCTTGGGGAGCATTGAAATTGGGTTGGGCAAATGTTTTGTTAGTGGGATGAATTGTAAAGGACCTGCCTAGTATGGGCCAACAGGCCTGCTGCAGTGATCCTCCTTTCTTATGTTCTTATGTAATAATTGACTATAGCAAATTGATGCAGGCCAGGCCAGTGGCCAGTCCTTCAGTGTGAATGGGCAGGTCCTGGATGTAGCCTGGACTGGACGATCTTGTGATGAAGTGGACTGGGTTCTCATTTTTTATATGACTGGACCTGGCAACCCTGTGATGCAGCAGACTTGATCTGCTGCATTGCTACTGGACACCCCTTGTAGTGGACGTGTTGTGACTTATCTGGCCCAATTTCTTGTCCGGTTTGTCTGATATCCACTTCATAGAAGTGGATATCAGACATAGAAGTGGATATCAGGGCTTTATGTATTAATAGACAGTTGCAGACTATTTTTTATAATAGTAATAGTAGTTGTACTAGTACTACTTATTTCACAGTATACGATGTTTGTGGGTTATGTCCTAAATTTTCTTTATTTACGTTGTTTCTTTATTAAGGTTCAGGACAGTGTGTTGAGTCGATGGGTAGGTGACCCTCAGAGGATGGATAGACGAGTGTTGTCGCTCATCTACCTCGCCCACGCTTCCGACGTCCTGGAAAATGCCTTTGCTCCGCTCTCCGACGATGACTATGAGGTATTGTGCTATTACCCAGGTGTTAGAGTAAAATTGTGCTAATACCATGAGGGGAACATTACACAGATAACTTGCATATAGACTGAAACTTACGCTGATGTTTCGGTCCGACTGAAACGTGGTCGTGAGTTTCATTCTCCTATGTGCAGGTTGTATGTGTATAGTCTGTTATACAGAGGGTTTACTGTGTGCGAATTTGACACAATATAAAATTTAAGGCCTTTAACAAGAAGCCATTTTATCTGCCAGGGGCTTATGTCCATCAATCCATCAGTTTCAGATTGTCTTATTTACATACCCGAGAAGACAAGATGTCTTATTTACATACCAGAGAAGACAAGATGTCTTATTTACATACCAGAGAAGACAAGATGTCTTTCTGAAATCTCTCCTGCCACCACAAACTTACCTACCACACACACTATAACTGTTTCTCCCACTTCAGCATTCATGTCACCTACCAGAATAACTCTCACTTGGTTCTAAACTTTCTAAACACTCCAAATATACAAATCAATCAGTTTTCCAGGTTTGTGTCCATGTGTGTTGTTATTGAGCACTGACAAATGTTCATTACATTTTGAGTTACTCTCTCTCATTATTTAGGTGGCTATGAAGCGAGTGCGGGACCTGCTGGACCTGGACCTGGACGTGGAAGCTTCAAAACCCAACGCAAACGACCTCATGTGGTCCGTCTTCGCAGCATTTATCAAATAACTTCGGCATGGCTGAGGGCGTGAGCGGTGCAAAATAAATATCAGTGCCTGTGATGATTCCAATGAACACGGTGTGAAGAAGAATGATTTCTTTGCGTGCCGTGTGGTGCATTGTGCGTGGGGAGTTTCCATTCGTGACTTTCCTTTTCTTGTTAATTTCCGCAGGAAATGCGTCAGTTTACGCATAAGGTGATGGTTGCTCAGAGCTATATAAAGCCATGTCTTTAATGAGTGGAACCAAAAGCAAAACATATGACAAACTCTCGTATAAAGCTCCTCTTCAGAATGCAATCGTTAGTACGATTGAGAAAGCACATTGATAATTGAAGAGTGAGCGGAAGGGCCTTCATAACACACACCTTTCAATTTCCGATGGACTTTTCCAGTCGCATTTGCAAAATAATCACTGCACGTGGAAGAGCTTTATACAAGAGCTGTGCGTTCAGTTCTCTAGCAACAGTCTGCCGAGACGACAGATTGTTGCTCATTAATTTTTCTGCCATCAGTATGGGATGGACGGACGGATGGATGGATGGATCGAGTGTGTTGAGTCTTACCACTGATTAACAACTCTACATTTCATGATTCAGCTTATGATTTTACGTATGTATGCTGATTTTTGTGTATTTATACATATGTAGATACTATCGTACAAGCATATATGTATGTGAGGCGCGTGTATGTGTACTGCTTACTGTAATAAAAAATAGTATTCAGTATGCTGTATGGGTGTATATATGTGGATTGTATGTATGTGTTGTATGCATATTGTTGTATGTATGTGCATTGTTTGTATATTGTGTGTGTATGTATATGTATGCATAAATGGTAAAAAGTATTATCTTAGAGAGCTTCCAAAATAATTTTGGACTTCGTCACAAGACTTTGACACAAAATTATTTTGTTTGGTCTTTTGTGATGTCAAGTGGCTTTCTGAATGCCTTTTTGCTGGTGCGAAAATTTCCAGAGTGTATGCAGTATACATGAGCATATACATACGTGAACTCTTGGGTACTTTTGGACATCTATATATATAAATTTGGCTAGGGATTTATTTTGAGTTTTCTTGATTCACACTGTATTGAATTTTGAGTCGCACATTAATATACTCTTGTTATCTTCTTTCAAAATTGGCAGCTGTAATGAGTCATTTGGTGTCTTATGGTATTGGAAAACTGCCATAAAATATGCTATTGACATTTTTATTGTAATTGATTTACAGATGAAATTTCTGCAAATTTCCGGGAATTTTTAAAATCCGCGAGTTTGTTATGGCATTATTTTATACATAAAGTTAGTGTATAGGCAGAGGTGTGATGCTTAGAGTAGATTAGCAACCTGCATGGTGGTGGTGCTGAGGTGTGAGGGTATACAGGGACACACATGGTGTTGGGGACATGGAACCTTAAACTCTGAGAAGGACACAGGCATTTTATCAAAATATTCATCAGTGTGAGTAACACGCACATGGGAGGAGACTCAATCTTACGGCCTTGTTTTAGTCTGACCTGGACCGTTAACTAGTTGCACCCAGTCCTGGCAGTGTGCCTTCATATTTGTGATTCATTGAGGATACATTTAGCCCACCAGTGAGTTCTTCAGTCTACTGGACTGGAGATACATTTTGCGCTGGTGGGCAAAATTTATTCTCGTTAAACATCGTGATAATTGCTTGCGTATCTTTCTCACATTCTTGTTATCATTAATAAACAAATTTAATGTTAACTGATCTTACTGGGATCCAGATATTAGTGTGAAGTTATAATTAATACACCTAATTTTTTTTTCACCATAGTTAAGATTCTCAGTAAGTTAGGCTGACTGACTGATGCAACAAGTGTGTTACTATTTAAAAAAAAATTATGAAGAGCTGTTGTGAAGTTGCAAAGTGCATAAGTTTTGCAATGGCAGAGTACAAGTGCTCCTTGACTTTATGATGGTGGGATAACAATTACTTCGCAGCTGAAACTTGAGATAATTACCCAGCGTGAAGGCGACAAGTCCCTAACTTATATTCATTTATTCACTTTTCAGCACTGGTATTTAGTTACAGTAATTATTTATTTACTTGTATTCAGTGACAATAGTTATTTATTTAGCATATACAGTGGACCCCCAGTTAACGATATTTTTTCTCTCCAGAAGTATTTTCAGGTGCCAGTACTGACCGAATTTATTCCCATAAGGAATATTGTGAAGTAGATTAGTCCATTTCAGACCCCAAGCATACACGTACAAACGCACTTACATAAATACACTTACATAATTGGTCGCATTCGGAGGTGGTCGTTATGCGGGGGTCCACTCTATTCATACTTATATTTTCAAGCCCATAGTAAGTCAAGGACCATCTGTATATAGTACTTTATTAAGGTTCTTGTTTAATATATTAAGCTTCCAGTATCTGTATATTTTGTATTTGTTATTATCTATAAGAATAACCAAAAATGAACAGTATAAAAATATTACTGGGGACGGTTTTGAATTGTAATCTTTGTTAAATTGTGTGATGGTGGGTTATTTAACATTTTCCAGGCGTCTTGTTCAATCTGGCATCTGAACGGAAGAGGCTACAGAAATGTGCAATTAAAAAGGGACCATTAATGGTAAAAATTGTGATGTTGGCGTGTGTCTGGCAAGACAGCAGTTGAATGAATGACAGTGAATGTGTTTCCTCTTTGTGGAGTTAACCTACTTTGGTGGGAGATGGCCAGGGTAAAAAAAAAAAAATAGAGGTGCTGAAAATCCTCTGGCCAGTAATTGATGGTCTTGACTCCAGGGCTAGTCATCATGGCCCAGGGCTGGTCATTGTAGCCCAGGGCTGGTCATTGTAGCCCAGGGCTGGTCATTGTAGCCCAGGGCTGGTCATTGTAGCTCAGGGCCAATCATTGTAGCCCAGGGCCAGTAATTGTGGCCTAGGGCCAGTAATCATGGCCCAGGGCCAGTCTGACAGGGTAGGGAAGCCTCATGAAACCCCCTGAAGGTATACCAAGGTATAGCTACCACCATATCCACCATAATAAGCACAATGGTTGAAGGTGAGTTGTGTAAGGTAGTGAGTCCCTGGGCCTGACTGCAGTAGACCAACCATGCACCACTACCATGCTTGGGGCTTAAGGTAAACATTACCTGGTGATAGCCAGTAATGCTGTAATATTACGTCGCTTTTTACTTCTAGATATTAAGAGAGATGGTGACGGTATAAGTGAAAACAATCCTGTATACAGAGTTATTAGCATGAGTTGTCATAGACTAAAGAGAAAAGTAATAAAAATGAACGATTATCCCACCGTTTCTTTATTTTTCCCCGGCAGTGGTAGCTGGCGCCTCGGACCCATTCAACTGAAGTACAGAAATACAATCCGTCATATTTTAAAGCCTCCATAAAGATCAGATTTCCACTGAAGTAAGTGGGAAAAAGGGCCAGTGAAGCAGTTTTTTTAACTGGTTGAATCTACATTTAGGATTTTTTTTTTTACTTGATTAANTAGTGACTTAAATTACGAGGTTTTACAGAGAACTTAAATTCTAGCGTCCTCAAACTAGTGGATAAAGCTGGTAAGCCTTCATATTGAAATGAATGGTCTATGTGTCAGTGTGCACAGTCTAAAAAAATCTCAGCACACAGTGCATAATGAGAAAAAAAAAAAATTGACCATTTTTTAATAAATCAGCGACTTGCAGGTATTTTCGAAGGTATTATTGTTGTATCTAGTTTTCATGTCTCATTATAGAATGGAAGACATATTTACAGAATTGAGAGATTTTGCTGGTTTTACAAAGAAAGTGCCTGAAATGAGCTCAAAGTAGCAGAAATGTCGATTTTTACCAAACTTCAAAGTAACAATCGTGCCAAGCGTGCATACACGTCAACTGGTGTCTAATATTTTACAAGTGCCACCAATAATTGTATACCATTTTTACACTATACAGTAGTCGCATAACATAAATTATATTTTTTGTGGTAAAAAAAATTCAAATGGAAAGCAAAGAAATAAGAGGCCTTGAAGGACTGACTAATACTAGAGAAAGTCTTTAGTGCCAGAATGTCTTTCTGTTTATTCTGGACCATTCGGAAATTGGCATCTATTTGAAATTGTGTGAAATTGCAAAAATTGCTAAATTGACCACTGTACTGGATAGTGAATTCATAAATGAGTGGTTCTTGCCCCCATTCGATAGAAAAATGGATTTCTAGCGAAATATTATGTTTGTTGTAACAGTACAGTGAAATTGGCCGAAATGGGGCTCAAAGTGGGCAAAATCGCCGATGCGTAAACATCGCCGAGACCCCCTAACTTTGCGAGAGCATAATTCCGTAAGTTTTTTTTAAATTTCAAACTTTGGTGTCTTTATACGGGGAAAAAATTCTCTATTTTTCATAAGAGAAAAAATAAAATTTTTTTTTTTTTTAAATTGGCCGACCCTGAGAAAAGAGTTTCGGAAGGGCCTGTCGACCCTCAAAGGGTAAAATGACTTAAATTAAAAAGTTTTATCAATGAAACTTTAAAAACTCACAAAGGCATTAATATAAGCTTATTGATGTTATATTTTATTTCTACATGTACAAGGGTACAGACCATGATGACATCAGTGACATACTACTAACAGGGACCCCGGTTACGAAGGCACGGGGTACGTTTAAAACCAGATAGATAATTTTAACGCAAAAAATTTGCCTTTTTTTCGCGTTAAAAAACCCGGGTTTCCGATTCGTCCGAGACGCGTCCACATGTAGCCGAAATGCCCCTGCGGCCATGTTTACAAGCCAGCCTGTGCTAGCATCTAAGCATACATTCGGTACTTCCATATTATCACAGTGTTTTTGGGGTTTTTTCTGCAAAATAGTCGCCATGGGCCCCCAAAAAATTTCTAGTGCCAAACCTTCGAGAAAAAGGGTGCAAATAACTATGAAAGAAAAAAGAGATAATTGAAAAGTACGAGAGTGGAGTGCGTGTGTTGGAGCCGGCCAGTTGTATGTAAACCCAAAAACCATCGCTACTATAGTGCCAGGAAAACAGCAATCAAGAAGCTTTTCTTGCAGAATTTTAACTGTGATTACGAAACAGCGACCGCAAGTGTTAAAAGATGTTCAGAGACTGTTGTTGGTGTGGATAAATATGGATAAAGGTAGAAAGTTGAAAGTGAACATAGAGAAGAGTAAGGTGATGAGGGTATCAAATGATTTAGATAAAGAAAAATTGATATCAAATTGGGGAGGAGGAGTATGGAAGAAGTGAATGTTTTCAGATACTTGGGAGTTGACGGTCGGCGATGGATTTATGAAGGATGGGGTTAATCATAGAATTGATGAGGGAAAAAAGGTGAGGGGTCCGTTGGGGTATATGTGAAGTCAAAAAACGTTATCTATGGAGGCAAAGAAGGGAATGTATGAAAGTATAGTAGTACCAAACACTCTATATGGAATGTGAAGCTTGGGTGGTAAATGCAGCAGCGAGGAGAGGGTTTGGGGGCAGTGGAGATGTCCTGTCTAAGGGCAATGTGGGGTGTAAATATTATGCAGAAAATTCGGAGTGTGGAAATTAGGAGAAGGTGTGGAGTTAAAAAAAAGTATTAGTCAGAGGCAGAAGAGGGGTTTTAAAGGTGGTTTGGTCATTTAGAGGAATGGTTCAAAGTAGAATGACATGGAAAGCATATAAATCTTAGGGAAGGAAGGTGGGGAAAGGGTTGCCCTCAAAAGGGTTGGAGAGAGGGGGAAAAGGGAGGTTTTGTGGGCGAGGGCTTGGACTTCAAGCAAGCGTGCGGAGGTGTTAGATAGGAGTGAATGGAGACAAGGGTACTTGGGAACCTGACAAATCTTTGGAGTGTGAGCAGGGTAATATTTAGTGAAGGATTCAGGGAAACTGGTTTTTTCATATAGTCGGACTTGAGTCCTGGAAATGGGAAGTACAATGACTGCACTTTAAAGGAGGGGTTTGGGATATTGGCAGTTTGGAGGGATATGTTGTGTATCTTTATACGTATATGCTTCTAAACTGTTGTATTCTGAGCACCTCTGCAAAAACAGTGATAATGTGTGAGTGTGGTGAAAGTGTTGAATGATGATGAAAGTATTTTCTTTTTGGGGATTTTCTTTCTTTTTTTGGGTCACCCTGCTCGGTGGGAGACGGCCGACTTGTTGAAAAAACAAAAAAATGAAAAACAGATAGCAAGAGATAGCATCTCTCAAGCGATCATTTGTGAAAAGGCTAGGCAGTTGCATGACGATTTGGTAAAGAAATTGCCTGCAGCTAGTGGTGATATGAGTGAATTTAAGGCCAGCAAAGGTTGGTTTGAAAGATTTAAGATTCTTAGTGGCATACATAGTGTGATTAGGCATGGTGAGGCTGCCAGTTTGGGCAAAAAAGCAGCTGAAACATGTGAAGGAATTCAAATATTACATAGACAGTGAAGACTTGAAACCTGAACAAGTGTTTAATTGCGATGAAACAGGACTTTTGGAAGAAATTGCCAAGCAGGACCTACATTACTGAGGAGGAAAAGGCACTCCCAGGACATAAGCCTATGAAAGACAGGCTTACTCTCTTATTCTGTGCTAACGCTAGTGGTGATTGCAAAGTGAAGCCTTTATTGGTGTATCACTCAGAAACTCCCAGAGTGCTCAGCAAAAGAATATCCTCAAGGCTAATTTGTGTGTGCTGTGGAGGGCAAACAGTAAGGCATGGGTCACTAGGGACTTTTTCTATGACTGGTTACACCATGCATTTGTCCCCACTGTGAAAAATTACCTAATTGAAAAGAAATTAGACCTTAAGTGCCTCCTGGTATTAGACAATGCCCCTGGTCATCCTACAGACTTGGCAGAGCAACTTTCTGGGACATGAGCTTCATTAAGGTCAAGTTTTGCCTCCTAATACCACTCCTCTCCTTCAGCCCATGGACCAGCAGGTCATTTCCAACTTCAAGAAACTGTACACAAAAGCTATGTTTCAGAAGTGCTTTGAAGTGACCACAGACACTTTTCGTTTTGACTCTAAAAAAATTTTTGGGAAGGGGTCTTTTAATATCCTAAATTTTAAAAAATCTTTTTTAAGGTAAAGTTTGGGGAGGAATTTGACTAAGAGGACCTTGAACTCTGTTTGGAAAAAAAACTGTGGCCAAATTGTAAAAAAAGGGGAAATTTGAAGGATTTAGGCTAACCCGAGAAGTGTATGCCGTTAAGAAATCCATTGTGGCTTTGGGGGAAGTCCTTGGGTTTGGAGGTTAGTGGGGGGGATTTTGGAAAAGGAGTTCAGGGAGGGGGACAATGACGAACAACCACTGATGAGCTGCTAGATCATCTTCAACAGCAAGAGGCCACACCTGAGGAAAGCTTCGGAGGAGGGGAGGGGAGAAATTGAAGAATTTCTACCCCAAAGAAAAAGGAAATGTGTGCTTTTTGGGGCCCTTTAAATGAAAAACTTTTTTGATGAAAATCACCCCCATACAGCTACTGCAAGCCATGTTGGCACCCCTGTACAATGACAATGTTTTTGAACCACTTTAGGAAAGTCAAAAAGGGAACGAGGGGTTTACGGCCTCTAGGACAGATATTTTGGGGGCAACAGAATTCCAGTGACTCTGAACTGGCCCTAGTGGCTTTAAAAAGAAAAAGGGAAGCCCCCCCGGGAAAAAGGCTTGCTCCCCCTCAAGTCCTAAGGGAAGGGGAACCCCCCTTTTCCCTTAACACTAACACCAAAAACACTCTCCCTCCTCCCCCCCCCCCCACCCCAATAAATCACCCAGATCTTCAATAAAGGAAAGTGTCAGTTTTGTGTATTTAAAATTAATTTTTCATGTGGAAAAAAAAATTTTTCATATTTTTGGGTGTTTTGGGCACTGTTTTAATTTGTTTTCCCCTTTATTTCTTAGGGGGAAAAAATTGTTTTGGGTTTTGGGGCCGATAATTTTGGTTTACATGACTCTCAGAAGCCGCTTGTTATGCTGGGGAAAATTTCCCCAAGTTGGGGCATTTTGTCCCCAAATTTTTACCCAAAACCATCCACAAAACACCCGGGAAAGTGACCCACACCAGCCCACAACACCCAAAAGTGACCCACACCCAGCCCCACAAACCCCCAGGATTTTACCCAAAACCAGCCCAAACTAACACCCGGGGATTTGACCCACACCAGTCCCCCCACCCACCCCCCAGGTTTTTGACCCACACCAGTCCCCTAACACCCGGGTTACATTTTTTAAAACGGATTACCTGGAGACCTGGAGAGATTTTCGGGGGTCACCCCCCCAAGGCCCTCGTAAACCCAGGCCTCCTGGTGGATCAAGCCT